TACTAGCCGCTAAAGATTTACAAAAACAAGGTAAAATTTTCACAGACATGGTCTCAAAACCTTAAATTTCTTTTGGATATTAAAACTGTTTTTCCTGTTTGTGCTGATAACTTTTAAGGTTTCTTTTTTGCAATAGTTCAGAAACTAATCAACTGCAAAAGTTTGCTGAGGGTTTCTCTGCTATGAGGATCTCAAGAGATCAAAATGGACAATGGTGCTTCTGATGATCTCGAACTTTATATCTTTTTGTCAACTTTGAAATGGCCGTGTCTCTCCTGGTTATGAGGAATGCCCTAAAACCCCAAGGACAAGTCAACAAGTTTATTTGTTACTCAAAATATACATAAATAAAAATATGGGGAGAATAAAGGAACTGACTGCTCAGTAGCAACTTGCCAAAGCAACATATACTTGCAACTTTAAAAATTGTTTCTCTCAGTCTTTTCCCTGACACTTACAAAAATTAACATCATAAAAAGCAAAGAGTTTTATCCAAACCCATGATTTTATATAAATTCTTTCAAGGTCCTAAACCTTGTTTGGGTACTATTCCCTTTATAACTTGGGGCTAAGGGTTCATATCTCTGCTTTCTCCTACATGCCTTCTCTTGATTACAACAGGACTGGTAAAGTCATACCATGAAGTGAAACCAGAAGACAACCTGGTAACAAAAGACGGACACTTGCCTGATTTTCAACCACACATAAACTGCATGGCACTTCTAATTGGTACTCTTTACCAAAGTTACTCTCACTACAATGATATTCTCTCTCCTGGTTTTAATTCTAAAGCAAGCCCATGCATGCCTGAATTCGGTTAATCTGGCTTGCCCATGACATGCAGAATCTGCTTCAGAGCAACTTAATTATTCCCTTGAACATATATGTAGAAAAGATTCACTGCAATGATTATTGCAGCTGTTCCAGCTGCCACAGTTAAAGCTACAACTGCTAACATATCCTTAACTCAGTCCATCCAAACTAAGACATCTGTAAATTCCTATCTTCAAAACAAACAGCTTGAAATGATGTGTTATACTAACAGGCTCAACCTCTCTATTTGCTTTTCAGGATTAAATCTTAAAATGTGGTTTTTTGCAGGAAGAACCACTTCTTTTGTCTGCCTCTTTCCTGAAGTACTAGCATGCTCTTGTCTACTTTTCAAAAGGACCACCCTGAACAAAGTGATGCTGATTTAGGCTCCCCCTACCATACACCATACCATGACCAGCTCTTCACCAGAGACTACCTCCATCGATGTGTTACTTCTTCAATAAAACAAAAATGAAAGAAGTGTGGTGATGCAACCTGATGCAAATATTTCTTCAATTCTAAGAGCCTAGAACTTTGCTGGACTGCATAGCCACAGTTAATAATAAACCTTGAGGCCACTTAAGACTTCTAGCCTACTATGTACTTATCCTGTTTAATTAGCCTGCATTTAAGAGAACAATGTAACAACCAACCTTACTTCCCTTGGATTTGCCACATAATCAACATTCACCACCCATAGCCCTAATCTTAATTAATATAGTCTTCCATGTCCCTTACCTACAGTAATACATGTGTTCTAATAATCATTTGCTGAAAAGAGCAAAAATAGAAGTTGAGAGCATTGTTATAAAATGGACATCTACAATAAATGTTGGAAACAGCCTTCAGATATTGCTGGACAAACAATGATGTTTATAGTACTGCTTGCTAGCCAGGTCAGTTAGGGTGAATGACTTAACTCCTTATAAAATTCTGTTAAAGATTTCTGAAAAGGATCCTCATTCCTTTCCCATGTGATACTTTCTGTGCTGTTCAAAAATACAGAGCAAAGTCCTTTGTTGGGGACAGACAGCTAGAGATACAGGGGCAGATTCACAGGACAGCATTCAAGCAGGCACACAATCACACACATGCAACAGAAATACAGAGGACAGAAGATAATGGGAGGAATTCTAATCTGGGTTTGTTCTTAGTTAAATGACACTGAGAGAAAATGCTTTGATTTTTTTCCCTTAATGCAACAGTGACAAATTTTATTGGTGACTCGGAGTTTACTATTAATGTCCTCAAACTGACTACACAAAGGAAATGGGAAAGAGAAGGAAGGATGGAAATAACGAACAAAGAAAGAGCTCGGATGACAAAAAAAGGAACAGAGGAAAGAAACACTAATCAGGGTCTGAGTGGTAAAAAAAATTATCTATGCTATTGAATAACCAACATGAGTTTAATGGAGCATAATATATTCAGGCTTTAACCTTTTATCTGACACCTCCTTTGGTATTAAAGAGCTAGTAGTCTCAGTATTTCAGTCTGACTAGCTGAGACCCACTATTTAAGGTGCTATTTTTAAGTGCAAGATGATATTTTCAATTAAAGGTACTATAAGCCCATTAAAACCAAAAATACATAAATGAAAAATATTACAGCAAAGAAGAAATGATGACAATAGGCCTGCATATGGATTCTTTAAACATTTCTTTCTGTTTATTCTTTAATATCTGATTTTGTTGTTTAGCTTTTGTTTTTTTCAGACATAAGTATGAAAACATAGCATGGTGAATTTTCAACATGGAATTTTATGAGGAAGTCTTGTTATATTGCTTAGGGTGTTGTCAAGTTCTCTGGCTTAGGTCATTCATTTTCCTAATTTAGCCTTCTAAGGTATTTGGACATGTGCCACTGTGCCTGGCTACAGTGAGGTACATAAATCATCTGCAAAGCTGAACAAGCACAACTGTATATTTATTACTGCCCATCAATACTAGTCTCCGCAGAACTGTAAAGACAGATTCTGATCTAGATTGTTCATTTTATTACTTTGATTTGGGGGAACTACTCACAGTGGTCTCTCTCCCCCTTAATAACACAGCAAGTGTCTGGGGACAAATGGAAAGTTCAGATTCAAAATATCATTCACGAGTGAGAATTAATAGACTTTGATGGAGGAAGAACCAGAGGAAAAGCTAAAAATTTATAGTGTGTACTTCTTTTTTGACATATTTTTTATTTTAAAACAATCTTTTCTCAGTCAGCACATCTAATGAGAAAGTCATTTATCCCTTTCAAGTAAGTATTCTTTGTATCAATTAGTAAAATAAGTGAACTTAAGTGATTTAAAAGCAGCCTTACTAATTCCAATATTCTATGACTTGACATTTCTTTGACAAAGAAGTTTTAAAAATAATTAATGTGCAAAGAAAGAAGAAAACAAAAGACTTGTTTTCACTAGTAACAAAATTCAAGAATCTTAGTCAATAGTGACATTTTAAGCCTTATACTTGAAAACCTACTGTTATATTTCCCTCCAGACTTCTCACCATTTTTGTGGGGGTTTTCCATTATATTTTCAGATGAGATCTTATCCTGTTGCTCAGGCTGGTCCCCAAATCCTGAGCTTAAGCAATCCCTGTCTCAGTCACTGAAGTTACCAGGACTATAAAGACATATCATTCTGTCTAACCAGAATGTTTTAAAGCTACCCTTTTGGTTCATTGCATGACAGCAAAAAACAAATAATAATTTCATTCATTTAAAGTTAGAGTGAAGCCTAACAAAGGATGCAGATGTTCCTGGGGACTCGGGCTGGGTTTTCAGAAAGGAGATTAAATTGGAAGTTTGGCTTTGGGATCACAGCTCAGTGCTATGATCTTTCTCATTCAGAGCTGGGCATGCCCCTCTGGCTTCTTTCAACTATATTAACTGATGTGGATAATTTGCTAACAACTCTTTCTGGACAAGAAAATGCTCTAGGTAGATGGGAAATAATAGGATATCTAAAGAGAAAAGCATTGTGTTGTGTTTGTAAAGTTCACATCTATGAAGAAATTTTTAAAATTGTTACAAAGAATTGTTCTTTTGAAGGAAGGAATTATGTTCCAAATATGAATAGAATTTACACACAATTAAAATAAAAGTTAAAGAAATAAAAATCAAAGTTTAGTAGAGACTGTGGTGATTCGGAAAGTTGCCTGGCTAGGAGGAGAAGACACCCTAGGGACTGAAGAAAATTCGGGTGCATTATGAAAGGCTTGAGGTTAATGGAATCTGAGAAAAACTGAAAAGCATTTGAGTCAAATTTCTTGACAAAAAAGGGGGAGAGAAGAGAGGAAGTGCAGAGAAGAAAGGAAATGAAGAAGAAAGAAGAGGGGAAGGAAGGAGGGAGGGAAAAAGAGGGAGGGACAGCTGATTCTGTACACATTAGGGAAGTGATTAGAACAAAGTGATTAAAAGGTCCTTCTGAGGTTTTGATTTCTGATCTAAAATGAATCCAAGTAAAAGCAGATTGCTTATGCCATGCTTTTTGGTAGTAGCAAAGCAGATTCTGCATTCCAGATCTTCAGATTTCTTGTCCCTCATTTTCATACACAAACAATGACTTCATTTCACATTGTTTATACTTCTGTTCCTTGTTACAGCCCAAAGGAAGGCCACAAGTCTTTCTCAATCTTAGTTATAACTGAGGCATGTAGTTGAACAAAACATAGCTTTCTCTAGTCTTTTGTTTTCATTACAAATACATTTGACTACACACACACACACACACACACACACACACACACACACACACACACACACACACGAGAGCTTGGAGAAATCTTCACAGAATAGCAGAGTTCAAAACACAGGTCCATTCCATTGACCTCCTAAATATAAGGATTGATTGTATTATAATCTGTCTCTGTATGGCCAAAGAGCTGTGTAGCCAAGTGTACTGTCTGTAATATCAGCACTGCCTGAAGCTGAGCAGTGCCTAAATTTCCCTCCTCTTGCTCCAGAACAGAACTTTCTCAACCTCCTATTCACTCTGCAAATGACAAAAACATCAAATAATCAGAACATGGACAATGCATCGAAGAGATACAAGTGTTTTGAAAATCTCCCAAGGCCCTGAACACACCCCTTTCTTTTCACCAGCCCTTCCTCCTCCCATGTTATCGCTTGTCACTCTCAACACCCTACATAACAAACGCTGTGAGTTCTGTGCCTGCTGCTGAAGTACTTACCAAGATTGTCAGGCTGCATAACTGCCATCACAAAGGTGTGAGGAAAGAGCATGGCTGCACCTTTCCTCATGCCCTGAAGCTCTACAGTGTTGCCCTCGAACGTGACCCCATGGACATCAGTTTCTGTGCCCAGGCCAAGCAGGTGCCAGGCCACCATATCACCTTTGCACATGTCCAGCGTGGGCAGGTTAGAGAACAGAAACCCATTAATAGCTGAAAAACAAAAACACAGACAAAATAGGAAGATGACATTAGATTGCTCAAATCATGGTCAGCAGCATATCAGTCCTATACTATGATTGCTCATAGCATGAAACTCCAGATCATCCTAAACTCCTCTGCTTTCTATTATGCTAGTAGGGTTGTATTCATAGAATGCCTTTGGGATGAGACCCACACTAGCTTTTTTGGTCTCACCTCTTTCCCCTCTTTTACCACACTCTGGAAACAATGAACTATTTTCTACTACTTCAACTCTTGCATGCACATACCCAAACATACACACACACACACACACACACACACGCACACGCACACGCACACACACACTTAAACTCCCATTTAACACACACACACACGCACACGCACACGAACACGCACACGCACACACACACTTAAACTCCCATTTACCCATGTTCTCCAAATTTCTTTCATGCTATACTTTCTAGTTTTCTTGCAGTTTCTTTGATTTTTTTTCTTTCTCCTCACTGTTCTAATTCTACATCCCTCTCCAGAGTGTATTTTCCAGTTTCAAGTTCAAGATAAGTCCTTCTCTTTATCTTCACTGGTAATACAAAAAATTTTTTTTTTACTTACCTAGAGCTGTTATGAAAAAGCCTCTTTCCAAATACCCTTCCCTGAAGTCTTTACACAGGCATACCCCACACACACATACACACACACACTACTGTCTTAGCATACCTATTCATCTCTACATCTTAAATACCCAAAGAGTCTGGGATGTTATGGTGGAAATTCCACCCAAGCCTCCTTACCCCATCTCCCTCCAAACCCTGCTGCTATCTCAGAAAGCCTGGCAAAGGATGGTCCCTTCCCCAAAGATACTCAAGACCACTCCTACCGGGTATTTAAACAGCCTCCCAGAGACCAGACTCATGGTTCTTCTGGTCGCCCTTTCCTGTCTCCTCTCTGGGAACTGGAAGGCCACCCAGGAGTGTTGTATCCATTAAACATGAGTTTTTTCTAATTCGGTTTGATTTGTTCTAATTTGAATTGCTGCATAGGCGGAGAGGATTATCAGGATGTAGAAACTTTTCATAAAGTTTTAAATCTAGTTTATTTGCAGTGTATTTGTTGAGTTTGTAATGCTTTCTCCTCAGCCCTAGAATAGACTTCATTTCTTGTCTCGATGTAATCTACTAACCCTGTCTTTCTACCTCTCCCTCTGAGGAAAATTTCTGTAATATAACTCATTCCAGGGTGTCCAAAATTTTTCTACACTAAGCATCTCATTTGTTTTGAATCCCTATTACTGTTTTCTAAGAGTTTAATAAATTCAAAGTAGAATGATATGACTCATGAAAGGGTCTTACTTTTTCCATAATAATGCACTACCTTGGGAAGGAAAAAAAGATAGATACAAAAGACAACACATTCATTTTTATGTCCCCTTACTATCTACTTGCCCCCCCAATATAGGGAAACCTTTCTGTGTTCCCATCTCACTAGAGTCAGACTACAAGACTTATTTAACCAATCTGCTAGGATTCTGATGAGAACATTGCTATTCTTCAGTTCTTCGTCCCCTGCCTATAATGTCTTGATTGTAACCCTATTCAATCTTCAGCCTCCACTCAGGCATTCTGTTCTTCAATGAATCACATAAATTTGTTGTTCCTTATTAGTAGTTTTCTCCTTTGAACTTAAAAGGTTCTTCTACACATTTAGTAGTCTGCTTGGATCGTTCTAATAATTATTTTTGCGGGTGCTATTCACATCTCATTGAAAGCTGCTGAACTCTCATGGAAATTTGGGACTAGTTTTTCCCTCATTCTTTTATCCATCTACCCATTGATTTGTACTTCAGTAAATCAATTAACATGTACTTTGTGAGAACCTAATAATTAAAGAAAATGTGGAAGACAGAGATAATTAACAAACTCTAGAAGAAATGAAGCACCATGTAACAAATAATTACAATGTTGAATAATACATGGAGCATATGCTTTTAAAATTCCTAGCACTAGCACACAGTGGTACATAGAAATGAGAGTCACTAGCCTGGACTTGACTGATAAGAAGTGCACTTATTGGTGATGTAGCTTCTGAGTACAATCTTAGAAACTGGGCAGAATTTCCAAAGGCTGAAGGTAAATATGTGAATATGTATATTTCAACTTAAGGGCATAACAATGCAAAAAATGAAATAAGTAGAAGCTGTGATTGTGGGAAGAAAACTAACTGGTCACACGTTGATGAGGTAAGGGATATGGAGGAAGGGTAGAGGGAGACAGAACTAGATGGAAGCAGTAGGTGTAGCCTAATGGAAGAGCACTTGCCTAGCAAGCAAAAGGGCCTCGGATTCTGTTACCAGAACTACAAAGGAAAAGAATGAAAGAATATCACCCCTGCTTTATCTGCCATACCCCATAGAATATCACATGTACACAATTTTCATCTTCCAGTGCCTCCCATACTGTGTAATACAGATAGATCATGGCACAAGACATCAGTGTAAGAACAGCTGTTGTTGCAGGGTGGTCACATGGTTCAGTGGCTACAAGCTCTTGCTGCTCTTCAGAGGACCTGAGTTAAGCTCCTAGCACCCACATCTAGTGGCTCACAACCACTTCCAATTCAATAGGATTAGACGACCTCTTCTATACTCCATGTACTCCTACACCTACACACACACACACACACACACACACACACACACACAGAGAGAGAGAATAATAGTAATAAGAAAACTGTTGTTTATGTTGTCTTCCTCCATCTAGCTTGTCCCTTGCATAAAGATTAGCAATGAAATAAACACTTTGAGGAATGGGTTATGAGTGTGAATACAATTACATTTTCCTTAAGATCCTAAAGTTATAGACAAAGGCAAAACTATTCCCCATACCATGCATTTGATTGGAGTCCTGGAAGCCCTCGACATCCTCTGAGAGCAGTCGGGAATCCAACATACCAGCTGCTTGATTGGCATTGCTGTACCAGCTCATGTTCTCATCAAACACAGTGAAGAGGAGAAAAAATTCTTTATCCATTCCTTTCTGTAGTCCCATTGGAAAAAATAGAGGGAGGAATGACAATGGTTTCAGCAGTTGAATATTGTGTAGTTGTAGACCCAAGGATTCCTGATTCTTTTTCATTTCCTTTTTCAGATTCAGAGCCAGGCCCATATCTCATGCTCAGAGCTGCAGTTGTTGCTAGGCAGGTTTTCCTCAGGAAAACTTCAAATTGTAGAGGAGATAAGGGCAGAGTAAGGAACAAGACTAGAGGCGAATAATGTATGACAGGAAGCAGGGAAGAAGCACAGGGTGAGGATTAAGGAAACACCACAGTATGTGACCAAAGACAGCATGAAGTCACCTGGGAAGAGGACTAAGGAGAAATAGCTAAGAAAGCAGGGAAGATCTATGGAAGAAAATTAGAAAATTAAAAAAAATAGAAATGCATTAACATTTATAATTTTTAAAGCTTATGTTTACTGGATGCTCACTGGATGCCAGACACTGTAGTCAGCATTTTATGTGTATTCATTCTATGAATCTTCAAAGAAATCAAAGACAATTTCCTTTGTTAACCCTTTCTTTACAGATGAAAAAGCTAAGTTAAAGAGATTTTAAATAGTGTGCTCAAAGTTACACAGAAATCATGGACTAGATGAAAAAAATGGCAAACAAATACTAAAGCAGGTTTATGGATTATGAACAATGATATGAACCACTGAGATGGGAGGGGTAAATAATGATTTGGGGAATATGGAAAAAGTAAGAAACACAAGCTAAGAAGACATGTATTTGCATGTAAAATAATATATATATATATATATATATATATGAATAGAAAGTCACCAACTACTATTATCTGATATAATTTCTGGTTTATCTTTTTTCTATTCCCTTACCTCCAGGATGCAGACCCATTCCTGACACATACCCAGAAACTCAACGCTATTTCTCTCCAGCCAGACTTCCTACCCAGACTCCCCAGAAATACCTGCTTGCCATCTACACCCAAGGCACCAGCCTTGCAAACCAGCAAAGGGCCCACCAGGCCAGAATTTGTATCTCTTGTAGGATCTGCAGCAGAGAAGTACATCCAGGTTAGACAGGCAGGATCCTGAGCAGTGGGCCCAGCATGGGGAGGAACTGTCCAGTTGTATGTTACTTTCTCAAAAGGCTTAGCTACCAAGCCAGGATGCGATGTACCTGCAGAGAAACATGAAGCCATTATTCACATTGGTTAGAGTAAGGATCATCAGCTCCAAAGAGTTTAATAAAAATGAAAACTACAAAGACATATTAAGGCAGCAATGATGGCAGTAACATTCAGTGATGGTTATTGCAATGCTTGAGAGCCTTTTTATGTAGGCATTTAGTGATAAACTTTCCTCTTAGGACTGCTTTCACTGTGTCCCATAGATTTTGAAATGTTGTGCTTTCATTTCCAATCAATTTTAAGAAGTTTTTAAATTTATTTTTAAAGATTCATCATAAAATTTTTAATTTTATGTATAGGAATGTTTTACCTATATCTATGCATGCACACCATGTGCATGCCTGGTGCACATAGAAGCCAGATCTGGAATAATGGGAACCGGGGCCATAGGCAGTTGTGAGATGCCATATGGATTCTAGGAAGCAAACCCAGGTCCTCTGAAAGAGTAGCAAGTACACATATCATTTGAGCCATCTCTTCAAACCTTCTAGGAAATTTTAAAATTTCCTTAATAAATTGACTTCATCCTTGGTCCAATTATTCAGTTGTGTGTTGTTTAATAATAAGAGAGACAATATAATAGACATTAAAGAAATTCAGAGAATCATGAGTACATACTATAAAAAATTTATATTTCGCCAAGTCATAAAAAATCTAACAAATGCATGAATTTATAGATACAAATGGCCTACCATATTAAAATATTCTGCTAGAAATCTCCTATACCTGATGAATACATTCAACAATGTAATAGACTAGAAAACTAACAGACAAAAACCAGTAGCCTTCATATAAATAGAGGGAAAACATACCAAGGAAGAAACCAGGGAAATAATTTCATTCACAAGTGCCCCCCCCATAATAAAATAGCTCATACTAAATCTAACAAAGGATTTGAAAGACTTGTACAATGCAAACTTTAAGACACAGGCATAGTACATTGAGTAAGATACCAGAAGACAGAAAGACCTCCCATATTTATAGACTGACAGCATTAATAATGTGAAAATGTTATCCTACCAAAGCAATTTACACATTCAGTAAAATTCCCATCAAAATCCCAGTGTAATTCTTCACAGAAATTGCAAAAAAAAATCCTAAATTTCATATGGAAACATAAATGACCTAGGATACACTGTCCAGATACACAAACATAGTCCAAAACAATGAAAGAACAGCTAGAAGTGTCACTATCCCAGATTCCCAGTTGTGTTAGAGAGCTATCATAATAAAATCGCATGGTACTGACAATAAAAGAGACATTTGTTCAATGAAATAGAATTGAGTTACAGATAAGCCCACATTCTGGCATCCATATGACTTTTGACAAAGTGGTAGTCAATAAACATTGGAGAAAAAAATAGCATCTTCAGCAAGCAGTGCTGATCAAACTGGATAACTATATGTATAATGAAAGTAGATCTTTATTTCTCCCGATGTACAAAACTCAACTCCAAATAGATCAAGGACCTCAACATAAGATCAGATAACCTGAATCTGACAGAAGAGAACATGGCAAAAAGCCTTGAACTCACTGGCACAAGAAACAAAATTTCTGAACAGAACAGATAACACAGGCACTAAGACCAAAAATTAATAAATAGGACTTCATGAAACTGAAAAGCTTTTGTACAGCAAATAATACTGTCATTCAGGCAAAGTTTCAGCCTACATAATGGGAAATAATCTTTAACAAGTATTTATCTAACGGAAGGTTAGTACACAGAATATATAAAAAACAGAGATCTGATAAGGGAGGGGAAATACAATACAGTAATATTAAAGGGGAATAATGGACAGGAACGGTTAAATGGGAAAGAAAAGGGCATGACAGCACAGAGGAGGGAATAAAAAGAAATAACTAACATTAGGGACATTTTGAAAAAGTCATATAGGAAACATACTACTATAAAGTTTTCCTAAAATCTACTCAAGCATCATCAACAAAGAATTTACATAGAGTTACCCCATAGCAGCACAGCGTGTCCCTGTGAGATACCACAGGCCAACACATAAGGCCAATGACAGGAACAAGTTATCTATTTTGGAAATTTTGATAAGTAAAGTCCCATTGAGCCCTAAATACTAAAGGTTCTTGGAAATGCTTTTGGTTGCTACCCAGAACTAGATAGCAAAGCTCTGTTGCTGAAGCCACCATGCACTTGAGTCACAGGACATGGAGAAATCAAGCTGATACACCTGGAAATTTCACACCTACTTGTTAGCTGTCATGTTAGGTGGTGATAAGAATGCCAGATAAAGAGAAAAGAAACCAACCTAGCTTTGAACCTTACGATCTACATCAATAGCTGGCCTGGCAAAACATACCACTTGCACATTAATGCTATGGGAGTAACCAACCACTTTGTGATTGGATTTAAGGCCTGCCCCACAAGTTGAAAGCCATAGCTATAACTATTATTGGGGTCATGATCCTGAGAAGAGACAAGTGATAGGCCCTAGGGGAGACTCTATTAGCATCATTCTACTAAATTAGCATAATATGAAACTCACTTCTAATGGCTGATGTATTTTCTATGAAGAGATTAGTGCATCTCTCAACCTTCATCAGAGAAACTTCTTTTTGCAGTAGATGGCGACTAACACAGTAACTCACAACTGGCCAAGGTATAGAGAAAAAGAGAATGGATATTACTCAGCCTTAACACAACGTTTTTATCCAAGGCTCAGAAAAAATTACAGAAAGGGAACAGAAATATCCTAAGAGGCAGAGGTAGAGGATGGCCACAAGAACAACACAGCAGGGTAGCTGCACATGCGGATTCATAACAGCTGAGAGAGAGGATTACAAGGCCTGCACAATCTCAGGCCAGACAAAATTCCATCTTGGAGAATGGAATTGAATACAAAGTCTTACAGGTAGCTAAGAAGCTATTGCCTGCTTGGGTAGGGAGAGTTTGTTAAAATGTAGAGCCCCCGATGGGTTGAAGACCTTCCAGTGAAGGACACACATCCAAGAGTATATGTGCAACACAATGGGGAGTTGGATCTTTGTTGTTGTTGTTGTTTTTATTTTGTTATGTTTTCTTAATATACTAAGTTGTGTTAGTAGGGAAGTAGGGATGGATCTGAGAGTAATGGGTGGATGGGGTACATATGATCAAAATACATTGTATGAAACTCCTAAAGAATTAACAAAAATAGGAAAAAATAAATCTTAAAAAATTTCTTCTGTTTCATCAGAACAGCATAATCACAGCTAAGAAATTTCCTGACATCATTCAAGGACTAGTCTTTGCCCAAACTCCATAAGTTATCCCCCAAGTTTCTGCTTTGTTTAAGTTTTAAAATTTTCTTGTGACAAAATGTTACTAGGCAGCACAGGCTAGCCTGGAATCAAGTAGCAGCCCAGGGTAGCTTCACCCTTCCTGACAATCCTCTTCTGTTTCCCAACTGCTGTGATCATAGACATGAATCATCATACCAAACGTGTTTAATAGCACCAGGGTGGCTTCAAACTTGTAAACATCCTGACAGCCTCTGAAGTACTGGTATTACATGTGTGCCCTCACATCTGGATTCTGAGTGATTTTTAAGCTATTTTTATATCAAGGATCAGTAGAAGTTTGCAGGTTGCATTTGGTTGTTACCTGTGTAACTCTTTCCCCTCCTTCATAGTATTGACTACATAAAAGAACAAAATGTGACCGCCTTATTGAAAGTTCTTTTATATTTGTTTGCAACTTTCACATTTATGCATTCAGTTCTTTTTACATGTTTATCTTAGACTGAACATGTGAAAATATCATCAGAGAAAATAAGAAATTAGTTACAGTGTAATACCACTTATAGGATTCTGTCATGTGACATAAACCCACATGAAGTTAGGATATACACATTCATATGCTACTATTTAAATATTAGCAATCTTTAAAATTACTAAAAAAGGTATACACCTGAGCAATATAAGCTAAAGTAAAGAAACTATGGAAAATCCATGTCAAATAGTGTTACATGGCTATTAAAATGTTGTTTTATGATCATAGACAGATACAGTGTAATGTAGACAATAGTAGAATGAAAAACTGTTCAAATCATCTCGTTTCTTAAAAATATAATTACAGACAGAAAAATATTAAATGGCATATAAAATGCACTTGACACTTTGTCTATGAATGATGATTGTTTTATAATTTTATATATTTATGTTTTTCAAAAGTTCATGATGTATACACTTATAATAAGAATACATTTAAGTGTATTCTTATTTTGTTGCTGAGAATAGAACTCTGGACTTTGCCCATGCATGATATAAACTCCATTACTACTCTATACCTGTGCCTTCTGAAAGTACCTTTTATAAGACTATGTATATGTTCAGGGATTATTTCTGAACTTTTAAAAAGTTTTCTATTATTGATGAGGTAGGCTCTGCTTCAATATTCCACCATTCATTCATTCACATGACCACAAACTTTGCTCTTTCTCCCAACTCTTCATTTACTTTTCTTCTAGAGCCACCTGCAGCCTACATTGTTGGAAATCCTTCCTGCTTACCATCATTGTACACGGTACCCTCATAGTCTTTCTCATAAAAGACGCCATGGGGCTGCATGCTGAATGGCTGGGAGGCACGGTTATAGAAGACAACCTGAATGGTGTCACCCACTTCAGCCCTTATCACTGGTCCTGGAAAATAGAAAGTAGAGACCATGAGAATGAAAACAAAGATGAAGGATGGAAACAAAGGGGCAGGGAAAGAAAATGTAATGGAATACACACAAGATAGAGAATACTTCCCTTTAAAATAATCTACTTTAAGATTCATGCTGTTTATAATAAAAAAAAGCACTATTAAATCCATTATCTCTTGTGCTTCTCACATGTTACTTTAAGGTAAATTAGGAGGGGTTATTTTACAAATGAAATAACTTCAGGGAAGAAGTGTTGACCTACAAAAATTCAAACAGCAATTACAGAGTGAGAACCTAAGGTCATGTCTTTCTTCTACACCACAGTCAGATCCAATTCAATCAGTCCTGAATTTATTCTCTGTTCTCCCATAGTTATACTATCTAGCAAGTTCAATCTAAGATATGAGCTTAACAAAATCTTAGCCAAATTTTAAGAAAGAGGATACAGGCCTGGAACTATGTAGTCTGGGCAAAACTTCTGGACTTCTGTGTGTTTTGCTATTCATTATCACATCCACCCTTACTTGGCTCACTTTTAAGGCTCCCAAGACAGTAGCCTGACTGTTTATTCTAACTAGACTCCAAGGTCAGACCTTCTAACTTAGTTTCCTATCTCAGTTTCCACATGGTCTTCATAACTGAACAACTGGGTATACATATGGAACACTGGCCAACACAAATGCTTTTACATAAACCAATAACTCTTTTTTCTAGGGATGATATTTTCTCCTTACATTTATTTCCCTGTCCAACTAATGTAGTGCTTACTATTCTTTTTCAATTCAGCATCAACTGTACACAAATATCCCTGGAATAATATATTATTTTCAAAGTTTTCTCCCACCCAATCTATTTCATTTCTTGGTTCCATGAAGTGATTAGACCACATCTAACCTTCCCATATTATATTAATACTGTGCTTTGGACCTTTTAGATATAATCACCAAGATCATACAACAAGCCTAGTTCTTCTTCCCTAATAATAATGAGTCCATCTTTAGGTAGTAGGAATATACTTTTGGCTCTAGACTATCAGGATTCAGGATGGCCTTACTGCTTTTAAATAGTTCCTCAAGAGTACCTCTACCCAGGCAATTCACAGAATGTAATCTGCATCATAGTGGTACTAGAGACTGGTACCAAAACATTTTACTAGTGAATGTTTAAGAAATGATATATAATTTCCATTTACATCTTGAGCATTTATCATAAACAAAAACAACCTAAGGTTTGCAGAAGTCTTATAGAAAAACTCTATTTGACTATGCTTAAAACATACTGATTTTAAAACACTCTCAGATCTGGGACATTTTTTTACAAACACTCATTTCTTAGGATTCAACTTGGGAGATGCATTTACACGTCGCTTTTGTCACCACAAGGCTCAAGTTATTAATTCAGCTCACTTCTTTTGTCTCTAGTTCAAGAATTTTGAGAGCTAAAGATTCCTTACCCAGTATTCCAAGATGTGCTTCTTCCTCTTGATGTACCCTTTCCTGGAATGTCTCATCTTGGAAGGCTTCATATCGAACTTTCCAGTAAGTACCTCCAATTCGGCTAGAGCTCTTCTGGAAGTACTTATCTGGGCCACTGACATATAAGAGAGTAAATGTTAAATGAATCCACGGAGTATCAAATAGAGTTCCACCTCATCCATAGATGCTCAACTTCTAGATCTTTATAAACCACGTAGATTAGTTCATAACAATGAAAACATCGTCTCTGATGACAACACTAATAAGTGGGATACAGATTTTTCTTGAACATTACCAATGACAAAGATCTTATTTTCAGAGGAAGTACTATAATATATCTTAATATTTGGTTATTCTTTATAGAAAGGTGAACTATTATTACTTCTAATTTCTATGAACTGAGACTGGTGCAGTCCTCCAGAGTTACACGGCCTATATGTGTTCTTTTACCTTCCTTTACTTTTTTTTTCTTTTCATTTTTTTCCCTTTGGAGTCTATTGATCATCATGAAAATCCAAGAAATACAACAAAAAATAAAATAAATGTCCAAAGTCTAAGAACCCATAGCTACTGGGAGTATATGACATTTAACTGCTGGCTGTGCACAGGGTAAGGGCAGGAATTGTGATCTTCATGAGGCTGCTGGCCTGTGGGGAACACAGTGGGGGGTGAGACGGTGGGCAGAAAGATTATGTTAACTGCTGCATTTCTGCATGGTGACTGCATTGGACAGCTTGACTTCCTTCAAAGTCACTCCCATTTATTGAGAAGATAGTCGTGAGAACAAAGCTGAAAGCAACGTGGATGGCCAGGAAACTACAATGAAGATTTGGGCATTGTTGTTCCTATAGACATTGGTAAATTTCTACACCAGCCTCCCACAGTCAGTTAACCAAGTCTGGATATTCATGGTGAACTCTGACTCACTCATTAGTTTAGAAGTGTTCATTATGCCCTTATTTTCTGTCTGCTTCATTGGATGGCTGATAAGAAGTACTGAAGTGTAGGAGTTGATAGGGCTATGAAGTTCCTAAGGCACACCAGTGGAAACTCTGAAGACTATCTTGGCCTTCCAAAAGTCCTGTACCAACCAATAGTCTTCTGTGTCCAAGTTCACTTGCCTACTATAAAGAAGTTTCCAGAGCTCTACTGGCCCCTCCACTCTAGTTAGTCTCCAGAAACTGGGCATTGGATGGGTCCTTAACTTTGACCCCTTTAGTAATATCTGAGATCACTGTTTTTACATGGTGAGTAGATTTTATTTCAGAGCTTCAGCAGTACATAAACATCTTGGCTGGAAAATTAGTTCCTTTCTCTTTCAACACAGGTAAACTCTCTCTGGTGCTGCCCCAAGGGAATAAGCCACCCCCAGCAATTAATGTCCATTTACTGTTCTCTAGGGATCATGATCAGCTTGCTTCATTGTGACATGCCTGTGTTTCTTGGCATTTTTTAAGTGATCATCCACTAGCTCATTAGATCTTTCTTCCTAGGAAGTTCAAAATTTTGTTATCTGTTTCTCCCTGAACAGCTACCAAAAGAAAAAAACCCTGTTGTTCTTATCTTGTCATAAATAAAGTCTCTGAAAATGTCACCTTATTATCACTGGAACTTGTGCCTCTGGACAACTTACTTTGGTTTGCCAAAATTATGATCAAAATGTCTTTAGATCCTAGATGCTAAAACAAACAAACAAAAACCTCACTAACATAATCTGCAAGTCCTAGGCAGACAGCTGGAAGGAGCAGCAGCATCTAACCTCCTCAGCACCAGACAGCTTCAAGAACTTCCCTATGCCCTCACACATCCTGCCATCACAAGGCCAACTTTACCCTATATATACTCCAAATTTCTATAGAACTATGAAGGGACTGTCTCTCTATAATATAAATATTATTAGTAAGTTGCCACATGTTCTTTAAGCTCACTGAGAAACTGACTCTGGAGGTGGGGTCATCTCCGTACCTCCTGCTTCAGACCCAAGGTTATTTGTCACAGGCTGGCCTCCAGCCCTGTGAGAAAGTTGAATGAGAACAGCAAAACATGACAAGAGTAAAATTACCATGAAGGAGGGTAAATTGTTAGAGCCAAAACAATGTGTCCTTGAACACAGGAGAGAAACAAATCATTCCCAAGTACCTCCTCAAAGCAAAAGATTCAGCTACTGATTATCCTATGATATAAAAATATAACATGATATAACTAGGAACAACTAAGAAGAAGTCTCACTAAGGAGAAGACAGTGTATCTGGGACCCTATTTACTGGTCTGAGGCTCCAGCAGACAGTTTTGGTTCCCAAAGTTTGCCCAGTCAGTTTCTAGTAAATGACATACATGTCTGATCTGATGTTTTACCATCTCTATTCTGTTTGTTGTTTGTTTTATTCTTTTATTCCTAGTTGTATGCTTAATAAAAGTCATCCATTCAAAATCAATTGTACAACTGCCATGGTCCATTCTTCATATGGAACACTCTCCCTAGGCACTAGGCAGATGTTACACAATCTTGCAATCTGTTTGTTTTTTAAAACATACTGCTATTTAAAGAGAGGAACACTATCAAACTCTGTGTAGAAAATCTGCATTTCTCTAATACCAAAACCAGAAAAAGGCAAGGACACACAAAAAGAAAAATATATAGCATAGAGCAATCTTGCTGATAAGCATTGATGCCCTATTTCTTAATACTCATGAATGAAATTCAAGAATACATCAAATATGTCATTACTATGATCAACTTGACTTTATTCCAGGGATTCAGTGGTATTTCAACATATGCAAATTAACACATAGAAATCAGTAGTTTACCTATATGCCAACAGTAAACATGCTGAGAAAGAAATCAAACAACCAAGCCCATCAAAATTGCCCCTCAAGTTATTTTGAAATAAATGTAACAAAGGAAGCAAACAACCTCTACAATGAAAACTTTTAAGCAATCAAGAAAGAAATTAAACAGGGCTCCAGAACATGGAAAGAAATCACATGCTCATGAACAGGAAGAATTAATCATGTGAAAATGAGTATGCTATAGACTCAATGCAATGTCCATCAAAAATTTTGTCAACCTGCACAGAAACAGGGAAAACATCTTAAAATTCATATGGAAGCATGAAAGATCCCAGATCATCAAGGCAATGGGGAACACACAAAGAAAGTAATGCTAGAGGTATTCACCATAACTGATTTCAAATTACATCACAAACCTAAAATAGTAACAATAAAGAAAAAGAAAGGACAGGTATGTGGGAGGATTTAGAGGGAGGAAAGGGAAGGGGGAAATGATTCAACATTATTATAATCTCAAAAAATTAAAAATAGCCATCCAGCTATTAAAAAAAAAACAGAAGCAGAATGGTGTTGCAACAAATACTGGCATGTAGATAAATGGGACACAATCAAAGATCCACTTGTAAGCCCACCTACTCAGTTAAAGCGCCCTGAAGTTTTACAAAAATACATGTTGGAGAAAGACTGACTTTTCAACAAATAGTGCTAGCAAAATTGGGTGCCCACATGTAGAAAATTGAAATTAGATTTCTATTTCTCACCCTGCACAAAAAACAAGTCCAAACGGATCAAAGATCTTAATGTAAGACTTGAGTTTCTAAACTGCTAGAGGGTAAAGAAAGAAAACCAATAAAACTATATAGCCATAGATAATGGCTTTTTGAGAACTACAGTCATTTAGAATATAAGGCTGACACTGAAAAATGGACACATATGGAATTAAAAAGAAAAATTTTGTACAACAACAGAAACCAAGTGAAGATAAGCACTGCATGATGGGAGAAAGTATTTGCTAGCTGATGTTTGACAGAGGAATGATAAATATAATAAATCCAAACACCCACAAAACGTTAAAAAGTCAAGCAACTGGAGTATGAGTTCTAATAGGTCTTAATACGAAAAGCCTGGAGTCAGATATAGGACTAAATGCTAAAGATCACAGAGAGATAAAGGAACAAACCACAGCCACCTTACCTACTAAACTTTCCACACAAAAGGAGACTGAGCTCCTGTCTCCTCCCACCTTATCACTTCCTCCATCTGCCCAGTCATATCACTTCCTGTCTGTCTGTACTAGCTTCAGACCTCTATGATTAACTAATGGCTAACTCCAACCTCTGATCTTCAGACAAGCTTTATTTGTTAAAGTATAACAAGATATCACTACATTTCCCTTTTGTCTAAAATAAAAAGGTTATAACTAATACAAGAAAAACCATGTAAGTACAATAACTACATACAATATATACAGGCAATAAATACATCAAAAATGTTTAATCCATTAACAAGTAATAAATTCAGAGAAAATAATCCATATGTATCCTGTCTTGGTGAGTCCAAAAGGTTGTACCTAATTCGCTTCTATTTTAACTTCTATTACCAAAACTATCTTTTTATGTATCTCAACCTTATACACTTTACATTTCTTTAGGGGATTTCTTTCCTGAATCTGGTATAAGGAAAAACTATAAAATCTTCAACTCCATCAGAATCCCAAGAAGGAAATATTATTATTTGAGTAAGCAGGAAGTATAAGCAGGCAAATTCCAAATAATGTGAGAAACATCTGGCTGCCTGTACAGTCACCCAAGGTTCCTCTGAAATGTTGGGGTATTCATCTTCAGCCTACAAGCCTAGCATATCTGAGAGATTTTTCTGTGAAGGAGGATATTCCGAAGGGCTGTCCTACCCTTCTCTTGGCAAAGATCAGCTTTCCTTTTTTGTGTGTCTTGATTGTCCAATTTGGACAGCATACTCTCCCAATCAAGACAAGAGCACTTTCTTGCCCAGTGGCTAACTTTTGCCACAAAGAAAGTAAATTCCATGTGGAGTTTCTTTGATGCCCATCATCTTCTCTGAAGTAGACTGGTGCTTCCAAGAAAAGACAAGTTTCATTGTCATAAAATGAGAAAAAAATCCTATGTTATTAAAACAACTTAATTGCCATATTCTGTTTATCTCTGAAGTGTTTGAAGACCACCTGTCTATCTAAAATACATCTCTGTTTGACCTTGAAAACATACCTAATATAACTACAAGTTCAGTTGTAATAGGTAGATTATTGCTATTACTGACAATAAGTTCTATAAATTCATACTGTGATCCCTTCTGGTATTCATTTTCCAGTAAACACGCAAAAATATTAGGAATGAGCCAATTTGGCTTTCTAATTAGCAACTATTAAACGCCTTGCTGCCTGAGCTGCCGTGGGAAAAAGGAGTATCAGTCTAATAGCCAGCCAGATGATACTTGTAGCAGCACAAACTATTGATGCCTTGAGACACGACGATTACAACTGATTGTCTTGGCTCCTAGAGGTACAGTTCTAGCCAAGACTGTCTGAGATAATTTGTGCCAGACTTTTTGCAATCAGAAGTCTTGATAAAACATTTCCACCTTACTCAAATAGGGAACCATTTCCATGGGTGGGGCAGTACTATGACTGATCTAAAACACAGCCTAATTGACTGGGATTGTGAAATGAATAGTTATGGTTGACAAATAACTATGACTTGATCCAAATTCCCCTTCTCAAAATATAGAATCAGGTAACGTAGGCTTACTCAGAAAGTCAGCAAGAAGACACTATACTGTGCTGTCTCTCCTATATTGCAGCAATGGCTCCAGTAAACATTTCTCTCAAGTAGTCTTTTACCTATTTTTTGGTATTGTTGTATGGTCTTAATGTGAAAAACTGGCAGTGGCAGTAGTCTAAACTAACAAGTTTGTATTCCTTAAGATAAACATCGATACCATAGCCCCCATACTAACCCATACACTGCCTAGTTGTTTGGTAGTTGAACAAGTCCCTGCCTTCAACAATAACTTGATCTCAGATCAGTGACTGACAGCTGAAGAATATATACAGGGAAAACTTGAATACAATACCATCCAGTGCCACAAATGGGCACTGTACAAACCTAACATTGCCAAGCACCACCTTTACTTCCAGCATCGTTTCTGATCCCTGATACTGAGTTCCTGCTGACCAGTGCAGCATGCATTTCTGAGCCTCAAGCTTCCAAATACAAAGAGTTGCTGCTTTCATTGTTGTTTTATAGCTGAAGTGGAACGGGCAGCTTTGAAGACAGTCCCAAAAGCTAATGCTGTATATCTAGGAAGAATTCCAAACAGACCTGCTTGCAACCACTGCCTAGTTTGGGAGCCCAGGGCCAGGATTCCCAGTACAGAGTACTGGCAAATGCCATTTGATAGCTAAAGAAATGGCATTTATGGAGGCCTCACACCTGCACAGTAGCAGTGCCCAAAGGCCTGAATCCACCCAGGAGTGCCAACACAATAGCTGCAGAATATCTGATAATTCCACATGGAAACCCATATATCAGTGAGGATTCTGCTTTCAGTGAGAGGAGATACTCTATCCCTAAATGATCCCTACAATGTCCCATGCTCATTTTCTGAACAACACTGACTTCCGAGGAACAGCAGGCCCAGATGTACCATAGCTCCTGCATATAGAGATTGATACCCAAAGTTTTTGCAGAGAACAATGACGGCTGAAGAACAAACGAATGGTTTGAAAATAGCCAGTTCAGAAAGAAGACCCGGAGTGGAAAGACTGAGAGAGCAGACTGAAAGAAGCCAGAAGAAATAACCCGTAGACCCTGGTTACCAATAGAATTCCAAAGAGCTCCTAAATCTTCAGATTCCAGACTAAGAAACATAAAATTCAGCCGGGCCAGGCATTGGTGGCACACACATTTAATCCCAGCACTCGGGAGTCAGAGGCAGGCGGATCTCTGTGAGTTCGAGGCCAGCCTGGTCTCCAGAGCAAGTGCCAGGATAGGCTCCAAAGCTACACAGAGAAACCCTGTCTCGAAAAACCAAATAAAAAAAAAAAAGAATCTGCCAAAAAGTTCCTTAGGTATGATAAACACTTTTAGGAACATGGCAGGTTGCAAAAGTTAACAGAAAAATTAATAGCTTTCAGCCGGGTGTTGGTGGCACATGCCTTTAATCCCAGCACTTGGGAGGCAGAGGCAGGCGGATCTCTGTGAGTTTGAGGCCAGCCTGGTCTCCAGAGCGAGTGCCAGGATAGGCTCCAAAGTTACACAGGGAAACCCTGTCTCGAAAAACCAAATAAAAAAAAAAAAGAATCTGCCAAAAAGTTCCTTAGGTATGATAAACACTTTTAGGAACATGGCAGGTTGCAAAAGTTAACAGAAAAATTAATAGCTTTCAGCCGGGTGTTGGTGGCACATGCCTTTAATCCCAGCACTTGGGAGGCAGAGGCAGGCGGATCTCTGTGAGTTCGAGGCCAGCCTGGTCTCCAGAGCGAGTGCCAGGATAGGCTCCAAAGCTACACAGAGAAACCCTGTCTGGAAAAAAACAAAGAAAGAAAGAAGCATAAAATTCACTCTTGCCAAAAGCCAAGAATTCATATACTATGGTGCAACTAAATGTCCCATTGTTAAATCCCACATAAGGGCTGAAATATAAGAGGGTGATGCTTCTGCTGCTTCTATCTGCCTGCAGCCATCACTTGCTGCTGTCAAACACTGAAAAAAAAAAACCAAAAGATGCTAGAAACCAACATCTGAAAACTTCTTGCCTGTCTGTGATTTTTTTCATCCTCCAGTCAACCAAGACCAATCTATTCAATACCCCTTGTTTATATTCTAAATTATCCTCCCATCTTTTATTCTCATTTATCAAGAATATCTTTAGATGGACACATTAGTGCATGCTTTCAGTCCCCAGATGCATATAGTTCTAGGTAGTTCAGAACCTGAGGCAGGATGATCACTTGAGTCCAGGAGTTAAAGGCCAGCCGTAGAAACATAATTAGATCCACTGTTATTAAAAGAGAAGGAAAATCATTCACTCTAACATGAAAACCTACTAACTAGGTAAGCCTAGATAGAGCTTTTAGAGGGTGTTTCAGAATGTCATTACCAACTTTGAAGGTTTCTCTATATTCATTGCATTTCTTACTGAGAGAATGATATCCAAGTATATTCCCTATGTCTTGCCCCTGTCATCTACCAAGTGCTACCTCTGTGAAAGAACTTGCACTGATAATGGCCTGATAAGCTAGAAACTTTAGGCCTGGCAACTCAGTGAAGAACTAACCTGCTCTAACCTTTGTAAACATGGCTCATATATAAAAGAAAGGAAACTGGAGAAGTTCCTACAAAAGGATGGACATGGGCTCACCATAAGCAGCCTCTTTTCCCCCATGTATTTCTCAAGGTGTTTTTTAATACCCATGCTCAGTTGTTCTCTTCAGAAAATGATAAGAAAGAAAGGTACAAGGAGACAAATAATTGATGAAAATAAAGAAAAGTCATTTTGATTGATGAGGAACTGGTCCCACCTGGGCTTTCCATTCTAAACATGGGCACATACTCAGCAGTAACAACATCAAATTATATTTGAAACATTAATTGAGTACATAATGTAACCTTGCAAAAGGCTTGCTACATACTGCAAACAAGAGAACCACAAAAAGTGGTATTACAATAACAATTCCATCTAGGCAAGGTTGTTACCCTCCAAGTAAAGAAGGATTTCAAGGAGGAGTATAACAGGTATTTGGATAGGAGTAGGTACAGGATCCCTCTCTCTCTTACCTTCCCGGCTCCCTCAGACTCTTCCCAGTTCTGCCATCATGCCCCGTTGGGCCATAGTCCCATTGAATCTCATGGGCCTCAATGAAGTATTGACGAACTTTGCCTGTGAGTTGGTCCACAGGTGGGTTCATGGAGCAAGAGTCGACCTTATAGAGGGCCTGCATGCCACCTGAAAAAAATCACATCTTTCCTTTTCTACTGTTAAAATTCCTACACAGGAGACACACTTTTCCTTGCTTTTATCTCCTCCCATCCTCTTCTAGTTTCTTCACCACTATCTCCAAATAAGCCACTTTTCCTGACTCAGGAGCCTGGCTAGTAGAGAGAGTCCAGGCAATTACTGATGCACTTACCGTATCTTCAGCCTATCCTCTGCAAAAGATCTATGTCTCAGCAACATCATAAAGACTCAAGTCAGGACATCCAAGTTTAAGCCACCTATGTGTCACCATCTGGAAGACCTTAGACAAGCCCTCAGTCTGAGCATACACCTTTTGTAAATGAAGAGAATAACAAAGTCTGCCTCAGAGGCATGGATGTGTGTTTGCAGGAATGTAGACATTGGGACTTTGGATTAGAAAAGCAGTTGAACTCTCTAAGTGGGGCTTAATGTGCCATTCTAATAAGAACATGGAGGACAGTGATGCTGAGGGTGATTTGAACTGTGAAGGCCTGGTTCAAGAGGTATCAGAGAAGAATATTAGTATGTGGATGAAAGACTGTTCTTATGATATTATGGCAACACAGAAATCTGGGGAGGATGTAATTGAACAAGGGGTCCATGTTCCAGCCCCAGACAGAAGCAGAACTTAGCAACTTTGGCAATATGGTTCTGCCTTTAGAGTTAAGGATAGAAAAAAGGATTGTAGAATCTCTATCCATGACTAAGGAAAGCCACTCATGACTAAGGAAAGTCACTGAGGCCAGACATGTATCAGGGGTGTCCCTGCATGGAAGCCTAAAAATGTCATTGTGTGAAGCTGTAAAGGTGAAGCCTGGATTGCCTTAGAGACCCGCCAGAGCCATAGGATACCTACCGAGAAAAGTTGCTAACATGGAATGGAGCAGGCACAAGAGACAGAAGTGTGCTGCAGTCAACAAAGCTGAAAGTAGTTGGAGATCTGAAGAGCACTTTCACATCAGACATGGAGATGCAGAGTTTGAAGTTTGCCCTGCTGGTTTTTTGGTCTTGCTTTAGTCCAGTATTTCCTCACTATGTTCCCTTTCCTCCCTTTTGGAATGGTAACGGATATCCTGTGCCATTATGTATTGGAAGTAGGTGATCTGCTTTTTTATTTTTATGTTTATATGGGATTACAGTTAAGAAAGTGCCATGAGTCTCAGAAGAGACTTAGCACATTGGACTTTCACTGCATTAAAACTGTTACAGACTATGGGGACTTTTGAAGTTGTACTAATTGTGTTTTGCCTTATGATATAGCTATAAGCCTATTGGAGGCCAGGGAGTGGAATGTGATAGTTTGAATAAAAGTGGCCCCAATAGGTCCATAGGAAGTGACACTATTAGGAGGTATGGCCTTGCTGGAGTAGGTGTGACTTTTTTTGAGAACGTATGCCACTAAGGAGCTGGTTTTGGATGTCTCAAATACTCAATCCAGGTCTGGTGTGACTGTCACTTCGGGCTGCCTGCAGATACTGATGTAGAACATCCAGCTACCTTTCCAGAACCATGTCTGCCTGCATGCCAGCATGCTTCCTGAAATAATAATGGATTCAACCTCTGAACTGTAAGCCAGGCCCCAATGAAATGCTTTCCTATTGTTAGAGTTGCCATGCTCATGATGTTTCTTCATGGCAATAAAACCCTGAGACAGGAAGAGTAGACCCAAAAAAGGTTCTAAATTTACTCAGCACATTAACGGCAGAGTCAAGAAATAACATAAATATCTGACTTCATTCTATTTATTTACAACAAGAAGGCTTGCAGACCTATTATGTAGATGGCTCCAAGCTAGAAACACTATCCTCACATATTCCATGGGTGAAAAATGTTAGGCCTTACTTTTCCAGTGGCTGTTCACTCCACAGCTAATTAACCAGGTTCCAGATTTCTGGGGCACCATCTCAGCAGTCACAAAGGTGGCTGGAAAAAGGTGAGCAACATCAGTACGGTGTCCACGGGTAGTCAGCATCTGTCCATGGAAGAAAGCTGTGTGGACGTCTATTTCATTGCCCATGCCAAACAAGTGCCAGGCTACATGCTTCTGTGCACACATGCTCAGCTCTGGTAAGTTCCCAAAGACAAACCCGTTGATTGCTGCAGAAGAAAAATTCAGAAATTAGGAAAAGACAGATAAATGGGAAAATCTTTTACCATCTGACGAAAAGAGTAGATAGCATTGTTTCATTTAAATTTGAAAACTAATTAAAACAGACAAATATTATTAGTCTCAATCAAAAAATTGAGAAAACCAAGACGTAAATAAGTAAAGGTACTTCCATGTAAGAACTACAGATCTACCAAGTAATAAAATAAATATTCCAAATCCAGTGATTTAAGGAAGTTCTGTAAGATATTTTTCCCAAGCCATTCTTTCTTTTCTGGCCAGTTTCCTTCTGAAATTTTCACAGTATGATAGTTGCATTACCTGACTATCATGGCCACTGGAATCTATCTTTATAAAACTCAAAATAAATTTAACTAGTCCATCCTTCCATCTTTCCACTAAAATTTCAGCTCCTTTATAGCTTTTATACAAAAGTACTAAATAACTTCCTTCACTAAAAAAACAAAATCAGGATATTTCTTTTCCTAAAGTCAGTTCTCTGTTCATGACTTGGGACTCTGTACTTTTATTTATCTTTAATTTAGTATAATTAATCTTTAATTTGATATAACCAATTCTTTTATAGACATTAGCCAATTATCCTTTGAACTGCAAACATATTGATCCCTGTGATTTCCCTAAATATAGTAAAATCAACTGCATAATTTGTGGGGAACTGCATTCGAGCTCCCCCTAATTAAAAAAATATAAGTCAAAAGTAGAATATAAAGAATGTGTCTTGAAAGTTGCCATTTTTTTTCCGCAAAGTAGATAATTTTGCCATCTTGCATCCTTTTAAAACCAAAGCAATACTAATTACTTATATCAGTGGGCAACACACTCAGGTGACTAAATCATATATAATTCAGAATCAATAATCCTGTCTATTCTACACAATGAAAAAGATAATCTTAATGGCAGGGGTACAGCCTACATAACTGGAGATATCTGAAGTGAGATTTGAGTTGTGTCATTTTTTGATCCATAATGATATGATCCTCAATATATTCAAAGACAAAAGAAAATCCACATGCCCTCCATCCTTCACCTCTCTTGATCTTTGTAGTAAAAGGACAACACAGATTAATTAATTAATCTGACAAATAGTAGGCCTAATGGAAACTGGACTTAAAAGTCTCCAATGTCACAATGCAGCCACTTCCTCCTAGCTCACCATGCATCCTGTTGCTCTCTTGAAAGGCTCCATCTTCTTTATCCACTGAGGTGGGGTCTGAGCAGTGAGTATCAATGTTGTCATCAAGGTGCCAGCTAAGGTTCTCATCTACCACACTGAAGAGGAGGAAGAAATTATGGTCCACATCCTTCCTCTGAGGTGGGGAGTTACCATTCAGGGTCCCTGGGCAAGCATAAAAATATTCTTAATAATAGGCTCCAAGGCAAGGTGTTCTCATAAGAAAATATAGGAAAAGAGTGGAAAGGACTTTATAGGTTTATCAACAACAGAAAATGTTTCTGATGCCAGTTTTTATTTCCAAACTTGCCAGATGAATCTATGTCAAAAAGGAGGAAAACACAGATCCTAGAATAATTCCCTCCAATCATCCTCAGTGCTTAATACAATTTCTCCAATGCCCTGGCCTTCAGACCAGACTACTCTTTGAGAATAACCCATTCCAAATCAAGCAGCTGAATCCTTGAATCCTCCATTTTCTATCTGATTCAACCTAAGCTTTTATTAGTTACCTTACTCAAATGTGAGTTGGCTGCCATCATCATTAATTTGAATTTTAAAAGTGAAATAAGAAATAACAGAAAAGTAGTGGAGTTATTTGGAGTAGTGGTGTTTTTTAAAGGTAATGAAATAAACATAACAGTAGAAAGAGAGTTTGACAGGCTAATAAATGGGTACCACTCAGGTTGCTACTCAATATGATCTTGATTTAACTTTCTCACTGCTTCCCATAGTTGTCCAAAATTGCATGTTGTGTGATTGTCTGGATAAGTACCTCTTTTACAGGTGATAAGGGGTCCAATGAGACCAGTTGCAATGTCTCGTGGAGCATCCACATGAGAATGGTAAATCCAGGTGAGGCATGCCGGATCTGCAGCAGTGGGTGCATGGCCTTCTGGAATAGTCCAGTTGTAGACATGGATGCCTCCCGGGGGAACAGAATCATCCGCTTTCAGGTACCCAGAAGAACCATCTGGGTACAGTGAGCCTACAAAAGAAAAGTGTACATGTCTAGTACCAGGATAAGTAAGATTATAGCAGATACAGAATTAAAAAGAAGACATTCATTAGTGAGATCACCCATCAGATCAGGTAAAGGCACCTACTGAGCAAGCCTGGTGACCTAAGTTCAATCCCAAGAATCCATGTAAAACCAGAAGGAATAAACTAACTCCACAAAGTTGTTCTCAACATGTAGACTGTGGCATTCACATGCTCTCCCCACAACACACACCATATACACACACACAAAGATAATCAATTAAGGTGGAAAATACAAAAAAAAATGTGGGATACTTAGGTTAAATCTAAGGTCCAGGAAGTACTACAGTGTTCCTTACCTCAGTCCTCACATCAACAATAGGCAAAAGGGAGAAGCTACTGTAAGACATGCACTACCTCTGGATCTTAAAATCTTGCTCATCCTCTTCCCTACTCATCCCTGACCCCTGGGAGAAGTGACACAATATAGATATCCCAATTAGGGCTGAGCACCTCTCAGCTCCTAATTCTCTGCATATTGATAAGTTGTGGGTCTCTGTGTTAATAGCCATCCACTACAAAAAGAAGCCTCTTTGATGTTTTGAAAGTTTTTTTCTGGGTGTAAGAAGGTGGTTACACACATAGACTCACAAAGGTAAGAACTGCATGCACAAGACCTGCAAATGAGCAAGCCAAGCAAAATCCAAGCACTGATAGGGGAGTGAATCATGAAGTTTCACCCTTATTTGAAGAGATAATGGCAAATCATGACTGCTGGGAGAAGAAAGTCCATTTTCTTTGGGATGTGGTCCCTGAGAGGCTACTCATGCTCCAGTTAATGGCCCTCCACCCATTAAATTTTAACCATTAAAATTAAATAAAATAATTAAAAGAGCTCTCAGATAAATAGAAATCACTTGGGAAGGGCTATATTCTGAAAAAAAAATCATGTTTAATTTAAATGGTGTGAAAGCAAGAAAAAAATCAGAACTTCCTTCCAAGCTCCCATGGCAGTACAGTTCTATTAACACTCAGGAGATGGAGGGTCTCCAGTTAAAATGCTAACCTGGGTTTTATAAGGAGAGCCAGCCTGAGGGTAAAGAAAGCCCTTGGTTTTAAGCACTTACTTTGAAATGCAAACAGCAAACAAATACAATTTAGCTTAAAGTCAATTTAATGACCAGTGGGCTTACTTTCTCACAGTAGAGAAAATAAAACTGCAAGTAATTTTATTTCTTTACATTAAAAGATCTCCTAACAGTTTTGATTTGGTGAAAAGGGGTGCTTGTTTGACAAGGGCTTCCCCAGACATCCCAAGGTAGCTTGGAACTCATTTTCCTCCTGCCTCTGCCTACTAAGTGTTGAAATCTTAGGTGTGTATCACCATAGTACTATTTACTACCTTATGATTTGCAAAGTGTTATTGTTACATATATCTTACCCCACCATGCCATAGAATACCAAAACTTATTCTTCCTATTGTGACATTGAACTTGGAATAATCTCTCCCCACTCTCATCCTTTCTTTGCCCCAGCCTCTGGGAACTGCTATTTTATTTTCAACTTCTATTACTTCAGATTCTATGCATGATGAAATCATAAGTATTTATCTTTCCATAGCGGTTTTAGTTCACTCAACATAGTGTCCTTCCAGGTTACTCCATTTTATATTAAAACAAAATATTTCTTTCTTTCTAAAGGTGAATAACATTCATATATACATATATATATATATATATGTGTGTGTGTGTGTTTGTAATTTTCATAGTCATACATTAATATATAATACTCATACATAATATATAACATTCATATACATAATTTGTTTTTGCAGCTCTGGGGATGGGACCCAGGACCTTGAAAATCTATCCCCCATATCCTCATTACTATATGCTATTCTAATTGTCCATTTATCTGTAGATGGACTTTAAGGATAATTATATAATCCGGTTATTGTGAATAGTGCTACAATAATCATGGGGGCATGTATCTCTTCAACATGCTGATATGATTTCCTTTGGATATATACCTAGTAATGGTGTTTCTGGGCAATAACACAGTTCTAATTTTAGAAACTGCATATTGGTACCTGATGACTATATTAATTTACCTTCCAATCAACAGTATAAAACCCAAACCAGAGATACTGACTTTCCACTTTAATTCGCTCACTAACTACAGTATCTGCCTTAGTCCATTGTGCCTTGAATGTTAAAAGATGCTAAAGAATAAGCTAAACGTACTCTAAAAAAAAATCACAGATATTCTGGAAGATTCGGGAATCAGAATAGCACTCCATTACTTTCACAGAACTTTCCTCTCAAACGCATATTCGGATCCTAGGTAGAAATGGAATTCAAATAGTTCCTTGTAATACGAAAGGAACCATGTCTTCACATTCCTCATTTAAATCCGAAGCCCAGAGAAGTGCAATGTCTTGCCCAAGTTACACAATGTAAGTACTGGTACACAGCCATGTTTACTCTAAGCAAAATTTTGCTGTGGTAAATCAGTAAGAGAAAAGCTATTTGGGACTGGGCATGATAGCATCCAAGCACTCAGGAAGCTTAGGAAGAAGAATCATGAGTTCTAAACCATTTGGCCACAGACCAACATTCTACTCAAAAGACCAAGAAAATAGAGGAGTAATTCTTGTTCCAAATTCCTCTTTCTCAGTGGCAGTAAGGAAAAGTGATACTTTGTAGAAAAGGAAGAAAGGAAAGGTAGGCTGCTTTACCTTCTGAGTCCTTCTCATAGAAAACTCCATGAGGGTGAATAGTATAAGGCCGACTTGCAAAATTCTTCAGGTGGATAAGGATGACATCCCCCACCTCAGCCTGTAACAGTGGTCCTAGGAAGCCCAACCAGGCAGGCTTGGCTACTTCATCCGTGTATGTGCCATCACTGTATTCCTTATAGACAGTCTTCTTGTAACTACTCCCTATCCTGTTTTTGCCAGACTTTAGGAAACTGGAAGCCACTCTGAGAAAATGCAAGACAGAATTACAACTTTTCTACCATCTTCAAACAACTGGACATTTCTTTCCTAGAGAATGCTGACAAAATAAAGGAGGAATTGGATTGCACTTGTGAAAATACGATGTGAAGTAGAAAGTTGAGTCATATGAAATTGCTGAATTTTGACCAACATACAAAGAGTCACTTTTACGCTGTGCAAACAAATGTACAATGACAAGGAGATAACCATCTGTGTAATGACTCTTCTTAAATGATAATCCCTCATTCATGTAACCCTTAGCATCATGCTGCTATAGACAGAAAGCAGAAGATCATAGTGGCTATGATCACAGACTTTGGAACCAGACCACTTGTATTAAACACCAGCTGCTCCATTTTCAAATCTTTGGAACATTTGACAAGCTGGTTTAACTTCTATGTACATCATTTCATCATCTTCCAAATGAAGATTATTGTGGGATCTGACTTTAAAAGAGGTTATGGTGACAAAAAATTGTTTTATGTGTCTCGAGTCTTGAAATACAAGGTTAGTATCTATAAGACCTTGAAATTGATTCTCAGAACTGTGAGAAACAAAAAATTAAATGAAAATTTTAGGAATCTTTTGGATAGTAGCTAGAAAATTGCAAAAACTCAATGCTATTACTTTAAATTACTAAAGTGAGTGGCTAACTGTCACTCTTTAAAGAGCAATTTTAATACAAGTGTTCTGACTCCAAAGTTGGATGAATGGTTTGTGTCAAAAGACAGCTTATGCTGGCCATACATCTTGGTTGTAGAACACTTGCCTACAGTGTATGAGGTCCTAGGATGGATGGCAGCACTACAAAAACAGAAAGAGGAAAACACAGTTGTTACCACTTCAAGATGGAAAACTGTGAGCTACAGAGAAATAAAATCAACTACCATTGTAAAAGATGCTTCAACACACTTGTTTTCTTTACCTTTTGGTGAAGCACCAATCAGTATCTAAGATCAACAAAGGTAAACCTTCCCATTGTTTGGGAGGTTGAGGCAGGAGGATTGTCATGAGTTCAAACATAATAAGAGTTGCACAGTGAGTTCCAGAACAGCCTGTGGCAGAGTACAAGTAAGATCTTGTCTCTGAAAACAAAAAAGAGAGGGAGAGGGGGAAGAGAGGGAGAGAGAGGGTCAGAGGATGCAGAGTAGCAAAAAAAAGAGAGAGAAGAAAGGAAAGTTTGATCATGTGAGGGGTGCAATGGTAAAAACAGAATCAAGTACACACATCCACTTTACAGAGATTCAAATCCCAGCTCCACCACTTATTGGCTATAGGATTTGAATGAGTCAAATGACTTTCATGAGCATGTTTTCTCATCAATAAAGTCATGACAGCATGTAGTTACATGTTGCTCAGTGTTAGAGTTCATATTTGTCGTGTACAAGATCCTGGGTTCTGTCCTCATACCACAATATTGATAATATTCATACTTCCTAGAAATTTTACAGGAATTGAATGACATATTTGTAAGACTCCTTCCCTAGAGCTAGTGTCTAAGAGCTATTAGTTACTAGCATTTCCTTGCTTATAAGACTTTTTTTTACGTGTCTAGAATTAGGGCAGTTCCACCATACTACAAGAGCATAGTTTCACTACACATGTCTTACAAATGCTGCATAGAGTTCATCTTTTTAAAAAATAAATCAAAGAGCTGTTGATAGGTGGGCATTTTGAATCCCATCTCAGACAGAAAGGAATATGGACTTATCTTTTTGGAATCTAAAAATGCTTAAGTGCTTCATGCTTCATTGCTAAAAAGCAAACTTGAAACTGGATACTGAGTCCTAAAGCAACTTGCTTTCTAGGAAAATTGTTGTTGCATGAGTGGTCCAAAGAGATTGGAAACTGGCTGCTATGGTACCCCGAGAAGGTACCCTCAAAAGACTACCTCCTGTCTTCTAGAATATCCTCTTTTATCTCTATATCTAATAATGCATGATATTAAACCTACATGTCATTACTCAGAGGCTGGTCTGTGATGACATTCCTTCCTTTGGGAGCATAGTTCCACTGCACATCCTGGATGCCCAGGTAGTAGTCTCGAATGGCCCCATCAGTTGGTAGAAGCCACAAGGAGTGCATAAACAGTAAAGCCCAGAGGAAATGGCCTGGCTTCATGTCCCACACTACCCTGAGGAACCGGGAATGGAGACTTCTGGCATGAAAAAAAAAAGATAAAGAGAACAAAGAAATGTTGCATGTATCTGGAAAACTGAAGAAGCAAGAAACAAATGAAATGGCTGAAAAAATGAAACCCAATTAATCCAGGTTGTTTTTAAACAAAAAAAAAAAAACTTCACTATATCCCTTTCAGTCCTACAAATATTCAGTGGCCTCTATACATAGGTTGTTAGGGAACAAAGTTAAAATTTTACCTATACTACTAATCATGCATTGTTTCCTTCAGAAGAGAAGCCTGAGTTCTGTTCTTTCAGCAGTGTGGAAGAAAGAATGTATGTACTCTGACCCTTGAAACAAGGAAACAGTCATCAGAATCATGATTAGACCATACTGACTGACTTGGTACCTTAATCAAGTCAGTAATTCTTCCTTTGCCTGTTTTCCCTTAAGCAAAAAAATGACTCATAGCTGTTACTTCTCATAATCAATAAATTATATTTAGAAACACATAAGAAATCATCAAAAGACATTTACTGGAATATTCATAGACCCAAAATGAGAACTGCCAAAATGCCAATCAATATTAAAATGGTTGAATAAATTGCATTTTACTTACACAATGGAAATCAGAATGACAGTAATAATAAACAAGCTAAGACTATGCACAAAACTATAGGTAGATGTGACAAGTACAACTCTAAAGAAAGAAACAAAACCCAAAAGCATACATTCTATATGATTTTACCAGGTAAAGGGAAAACTACAGAAAATGAATCTATTCTACTAGAAGTAAGGATAGAGGTGAGAAAAGAGCTCAGCTGTTTACTGCTTGCACACTTAGGAACATACATTAGTTCCTAAATTCCATCCTTAACACTATAAAAAATAAGTAGAGATAATGTTCACCCTTGAAGCAAACATCAGGGACTGGGAAGGGAAGAGGCATGTTCTCTTTCATTATCTGTATTCGATTCATATGGGTGTGTTCCATTTCTGAAAATATTCTGAGAAATATAGGATTTATAGACATTTTGCACATTTCATTTTTGGCTTTAAAAAGGTAAAAAGATGGAACAAAAATAAATGAAAGTATGTGAGGGAGGTAGTTTGAACAGCTTAGATTCTCAGCTGGTTCCCAATGCTGCACACAAATTCATTTCACAGGTTGCATCCTGATTCACTGCCATATTCAGCCTTCTAGCCTCTTATTTCAATGTTTTAAGCAAGAAGGTTAGAATTCTTGATCCTGGGTGGGAGGCACTAGTCATACTACACATAGTTCAAGACCATAAACATAAATGCACATTAACGTTTGCACACAGAATTTTACTTAAAAACACAGATGCACATGTTTGCATCCACATAAGCCATATTGTTAACATAGAGATACCATCACATTCAGAATAACAATAACAATAATAAATATGTATCTATTGTGTCTAATGTGTGGCTCATTCTAATCATCTAACATAAATTAAATACTTTAAGCCTGACAACCACCCTATGAAGTAGATATCATTATTCCCCTTGGTATATTGGAGGAATTGGAAAAAAGCAATGTAATTATTTGCCCAAGCCATCTTAGTTAACAAATGGAAATTAATTCCATGAAATATGACTCCAGTACCTATGATGCTGGCACAAAAACATACTTGCACGCTCACTCGTATGCATACTGAAAACATGCATATATTCACAGCCACAGCTGTATCTAGAAAAACTGCATGCATTCTAAAATATGCAATTGCATGTGGCTATGTTTACTTTAGAAACAAAGAGATAATCATACAAGGAGCTAATCATAATAATGATAATAACTGTGTTTCACTGAGATATGACTAAACACAAAACACCATGTTCAGTGTTTTAGACAAACTGTTTCATTAAATATTCAACTCAAAGCAAAAGTAATAGGGACTATTACCCCAAGTGAAAAATCCAGTCTCTACTGGGTGTGGTGGTGCATGACTAAGAGCACTCAGGAGATCGGGGCAGGAGGAGTATATGTTCAAACCCAGCCTGGGCTACATACAGAGAAGAAACTTTATAAAATTAATGAATTGCTTAATTAATTTATTCAAGCCCTAGTATCACAAAAATTAAAAGAGATAAACAGATTCACATACGGATAGGAAAGACACAGATATTTACAATAGGTAGGCCCAGATACTTACTCTGATTAAAATCAGACTTTTTTAAAATGAACACTCAGGCTTTCCAATATACAGTATTAATCACCCATCTCTATATTATGTCTGGCAGAAAGTCCTAGATGTAAAGACAGGCCTTTTTGGGGTGAGGACTTCTTGCAGAAACCTGGATGCCCCGCTGATTAGTTATATAACCTGATTATTATTTAACAGCTATGATCTTGCTTACTCATGTGTAAAGTAAATTTATTATCAGCCCTGGAAGAATAAATGGGAAAATTTACCTAAAAGAGCCCTAGTAATATCAGTGTCTGGCACACAAGAGAAGCTTTTCCTTCTCTCTCCTAGTTAGCTTGTTAATGCATCTTTGCCGTTTCATAAGAAATTGCCTTCATTTACCACATTAGATAATAAAATCCTTGAGAGTGGGTATCAAGTAATACATATGTCTGTGTATCTGTTGTCAGATGTGGTATAGTGGGCCTAGGAGGCAACCATAGAAGCTACTGCTAAAGTGAAAGAAAGAGGAATAGGCATGGCATGCGTGTTCCCATCTGTTTGCTCCAGTCAGGCTTCCAGTTTGAATAGTGACATCATGCAAGTTTCTTTACCTTAATGAGCCCAGTTTCTCATCTATAAAACAGTGAAACATACAGAGCTGAAGCATACAATACTTACATTGTAGAAGTTATGGAAATTTTATAATCTAATGGAAATACACATGTGGGTAACAATGAAAAATCTGGTATTTCAAAAGTTCTCAGACTCCTTTCTCTCACACAATACTCACTTCTGCTGATGAAATACAGGTATAGTCACATGTACCTACATACAATACTATTCATGGAAACACAGTTAGCCATTCCTTAAAGCCCTTCAACCTGGATGGGGCAGCCTTTGTGCAATGGACGTCTGAATGTCACCTGGACCTCGTTCAAACTTCCTTCTCGAGGAGTTACCAGCAAGGCAGCTGTGCCTTCAGCTTATTTACCTAGAGAGAAAATAGTCACAGGTAAGAGTTCCATGTTTGCAGTCTCACCTGAATAGTCTTGGAACTGTGTGGGCAGACAGTACAGACCTTTTGTATGTTTGCAGTCTCACCTGAATAGTCTTGGAACTGTGTGGGCAGACAGTACAAACCTTTAGCACAGAGTGAACAAGCACTCAAAGTTTGAAAATGGTGACTAAAATCCCAAAGTCTAGATAATCTAGAACCTAGCAGTATTTACTTTACAATGTGCTTTTCATAGCTGCAACCTTATTTTTCACAGTCCTGTAAGATATGGATTGATTTCCATGTTTTACATGCAGCGCAGAGGCTTTGGACTCACACCTCTTAGACAAAGCCTGGATCCACCAGAGTCTTCATCTTTAATACTATCTGCTGCCTCATAGAGTTGGGAGGATTAAATAAACAACAATCTATACCTGTATAAAGCACACATAAGTGCTTATGTGTACAAGATAGTTGTGAGAAAGTAACAATGGCTATTAATATTAAAACTGAGGAAACAGACTTGAACATAAAACCAACCACTATCACAAAGCTTTGCCTGTTTTGTTTATTTGTCTCCTCTTTTTTTCTTTCTGGTTCTGGGAATGCAATCCAAGTTGTTGCACAAGCAAGGAAATTACTCCTAGCCCAAAGCTTATAATTTTATGGATAATGACAGACATGTATACATTGTACACATCAGTAATATATTCAATGTATAGAAGTACTCTGACAGTGCTATACAATGCACACATTCCAGGCTGACATTCTCTTCTTGGAAGAAACTTGGTTTAATGTGAACTGGACCTTGGGCCAGTTACGGTGACACACACCTATAATTCTAGTACCCATGGAGATGAAGGGTGAGGCAGGAAGGTCAAGAGCTCAAAAGCCAATCTGAGCTATATGGTAAGCTCCAGGTTAACCCACTGTCTCTGTCTTTCTGTCTCTGTCTCTGTCTCTGTCCCTGTCTCTGTCTCTGTCTCTGT